GAGAACTAACCTTGTTAGTTGAACTCACTAGTCCTCTGGCTGCCAGGGCTTCATGCAGGACTGCTCTTTCTTTTCTGGAGGAAACAGCTAGTATTGAGATCCAGGTGGGCATTGGTGACTGAGACACGAATATCCAGCATTGAGCATAGCTGGGGGAAACAAGGTGCAGAAGGCCACGTACCATGCTAAATAAGAAGAAGAGAAAGATATTCCTGGGTTTGGGGAATGTCAATAGGAGGGAGTTGCTTGAGCTATGCACATGCCATGTATTTGGGGATTAGATAAAGACACACTAATCCCTTCTTGTTCAGGATGCTATAACTCAAGAAACCATGCCCCAGATGAACTTCAAAATTATAATCCTCCTGCCTTAGCTTCTTGAGTTGCTTGGCTTATAGGCCTGTGCTACCCGGCTTGGAGCTGCTCCCAGTTTACATTGGCTGCCTTGTGCCCAGAGAGATGAAGGGCCAGATGGGAAGTTAGGGCTTTAGGCCACCTGTGGTGACCAGGCCTTCCTGTCCTTGCTGGGCTCTGCAGGGACCTAGCCAGGAGGGAAGTGTTTCCTACCACACCCCTGGCTGGCTTTTGCCTCAGCTTAGGGATTCATGTAGTTGTGACTGATTTTCTGCAGTATATGAGACTAAACAGGCTGGTGGTGTTTCCTAGCCACACGGAGTACAGGGTGACATCTGTGTCATTGCTGAGACAACCACAGAGACTCCTTGCTGCCGCAGACCTGAGAGAGGGGGAGGGAAGGTTGGCATGAAAAGTACATGAGGGTTTGTTCTTAGGTTGCAGTGACCTTGAAACAGATCTTGTCTGTGGGGCCTGAGGTGGCGTAGAGGGTTGAGTGTCTCTCCTGGACATGGCTACCCCATGTCCCTCCCCAGGCCTCCATAAGTTTTCAGAACTCCACCTTTCCCCCAAGACATTGTCATGCTGCCCATCAGATAGGTGGTGAGGCCCAGAGGACACATTGGAAGTGAGGTTCTAAGTGTGAATACATAGGCTCACTTTACTGATGGGGAGCACAGGGTCTCTGTGCAAACCTTGATCTTGTCTCCCAGATGCTGTGAGCTGAGCCCATCATTATGCTGTCACCTGCAGTACAGGGCTCTGAATGTTCATTTTTGATGGTCAGAGGCAGAGGAAGGGAATGTCTCTGTGACTCATGAAGTCACATAGGCAGAAAAGCTGAAAAACCACAAATAAGGGACTCAGTCAACAAAGCCCAAACTACTTCAGGCTATTCTTGGAAACGACACATCACATCTTGTTTCTTCCCAGAAAAATGCAAAACCCTGCATATTTCTAGCTAGTTGGTTCTATTTCTATTACATCTCAAACTCCAAAGAGGCAACATCTGGGCGGTGGTTAAAAGGGCAGACTACCAAGATCCAGCCACCCAGGAGCCTCTGATCGAAGCATTTTTCTTGTTTTTGAGACTCTGTGGTCTCCTGTAGCCCAGGATGGCCTTGAACTCACTTTGTAGCTAAGGGTAACTTTGAACTCCTGCCTCATCTTTCTGCTTCTACTTTAAAAGCATTGGGATTATAGGCTTGGGCCACCATGCTCAACTCTGCCTTAACAATTTTTGACCCTTGTCATTTGGGGCTGGTAAGAGTATTCCCCAGAGGTCATGAACCCACAAATCTCTAAGAAACAGAAGCTTAAAGCTCAGACTCACTGTGTGCCTCAAAGTCAGCAGGCAGCTGATCAGCACTGCACGCACACACTCTGTTTTCAGTTCATTATCCAAATTCCTAGTGAGATTCCCCTTTTATATATGGGAAAAATTAAAACTCACAAGGTCAGTGATTTGTCCAAGACTACATGGCTAAGAAGGGAGCTCAGACTAGATCTTCTGAAGTGATGCTCTTTGTTTTTTAGAGTTTTTGTTTTGTTTTATTTAAGACAGGGTCTTCCTATGTAGCTCAGGCTGGCCTAACATGCTTATGCCTCCCAAAAGCTGAGGTTACTGGGATGTGCCTTGTCCTGTAGCTTTAAGGTATATGCAATTTCTTGACATAGGAAGCTAGTCTATCAAGGCTTGGTGGTTTGATTGTGTTTAGTTTTGTCAGTTTTGGGGCTCAAATCAATTCTGGGTTTGTGCATGCTAGGCAAATGGTTGGGGAAGCCAGTCTAAGCCATGGGTTATATTTCTTTTTTAGTTGATGTTTTAGCCATTGAAAGACTGATGCTAGTTACAAGGCCAGTGAATGATAAGTATATCCCAAACCTGACTACATTTATGATTGTGATTCTTTGATGTGAGAAGTATTGTCTCCATCTTACAGACAGGAAAACGGAGGCTACCAACTGAGATGACTTGCCTTATATCACATAGCTGGCAAGTGCTGGAAATCAGACACAGGCACAGGTTTCCTTGACTAAATAAATGATCTGATATTCCCACAAAGATGGCTGCCCACCATGTACCATCTTAAAGTGGTATGACTTGGCAATCCAGTATTTTAAAATGTGGAGACTGTTTAGATCCAGGGAGGCATGTTCAAGCCTGATACAGTGGGGTTTGTGTCCAGAGCCAAACTTAACTCCTCCCATGTGCCCTTTACCTCCCCTTCCCTTATCACACCCTAGATAAGAGCCAGTTCTGGAAGCTCTCACACCTCCAGACCCCTCACATTGCCTTTGCCTCATCCTCTACTGAAGTCCAAGATTTAAGTGGTTTCAGGGGAGAGAGAGAAGACAAGTTCTTCAGGTTTGTAAATTGTCTCCTGGGAGACAGATCTGGCTTGATACTTGCCAATGGTAAGCAATTTCAGACAAGAAGCTAGGAGTGGAACGTTGTTTTGGATATAGCATGCGTTACATGCATTACACATGTTAGCACACATGCTCAGCACTTCCTGGGCTTGAAGTTATCATGATTCTCTTAGAAGAAACCAAGTTTTGGTATTTAAGTGGTTTGTGTGAGGTTACGTGGCAGTGAAGGGATTTTGCACACCTGCTCCTGTATCTCCAAGGTCACCCCACTCCAAGGTCAATCCATCCATCCTCAGCAGGGATTGTAAGGTTTTGTTAGAATCCTGGGAGCCTTGTTTTATCTTCTAGCTACCCTCCACGCTCTCATTCAATGCCACAATGTTATGATTCCAAAGATAAGTCTGGGAATGTGAACACACTCAGAGAAGCAGATAAGCCCTGGGTAGCAAGTGGGACATGCACAGAAAGATGAGACATGGGAGGCCACAGTGTTGATATGAGGAGCTAAGAAGGGAGCACAAGTGAAGGAATTCATGTCTCCTCCAAGCTAGGCAGGGCACCACATTGCCAGTCCTCTCCACCTGTGTAACTTGTTGGGTGGCATGGATCAGGGTAGTCAGGTAGGCCCTCCTGAAGAATGGGCCTGGCCCACATATGCAAGTTAAGATCTTGCTCAGGGATGGAGGTAATCACCTTGTGAGCAAAGTACCAGGCATAGTGAATGCTCTCAGGGAAGCAGTAGAGGGAGGATAGGCTCCTGCATGAGCCATGTATACTCCTCGGCCTGGAGGAAATACTCTGTGATTGACCTCAGAACTCCTAATCTACCACTTTTTGCAGGAATCCTGAGCTGCTTGAATTTGCTGTTGCTACTGTACCAGCTCTTTCCAGACTCATGCTTCTGAACAGTGTCTCGATGGCCCATAGTTCCACTTTCTTGTCTTGTACAGAAAACCCCTCCTTCCTACCACAGAAGCAATTTGGCATTTCCTGGTGACTTCTTCAGGCTCAGTGGGACACCTGCTTCTCTGAGCAAAACGTCAGGCTCCTTGTTTGGACAAAGTACTCTTTTGTACACTGTTTTGTCTTCTTCTCCAGATGGGGTCTATCTTTGCATGAGCCATCTCTATTCCTGGCACCCAGTGCGATGGTGATGTTTGCCAAGACATCAGAAACTGTTGTGGATGAATCAGAGATTAGGGAAAAGGATACACAGCCTCCTGACTGTTTTGGATATTTTGAAACCAATCTCTGATCCAGATGTACCCTTCATGAGTGATTCTATCTGGGGAGTGTGAAGCTGATGGAGGCCTTGTACTCTATGTGTTGTCCAGACTCACATTGCCAGGCTCCTCAGTACCCCAATAGCCAGCCCTCACACTGGCCTTCTTGCACTAACTATGCAAGTTTGAGAAAAAAAGAAATAGCTTTGCTAAAAGTGGCTTCCCTTCATTTTCATTCCTTTGAAGCTGAAATGACTTCCCTAAGGAATGCTTGAGGTTGGAATGGCTCAGAGAGAGGGAGGTGGGGAGCGTGCCCCAATCCCAAGCGAGCTATTTCAGCGATGTGAATGAATGCCCCAGTGCGTGTCTCCATTCTGTCAGTCCAAACACTTGTTCAAACAGCTCCCTGCTTGGTCTTGCACAGAACGGGCTCCCTTTGCCACTGGCAAAGAGAAGGCCATGTGACTCTGACTTCTGGTTGTCTGGCTGAGGTAGATGGTGTGGTGTGCTTCCAGAGGATTCCAGAAGTTGTGAGAGGTTGTCACTTGTCACTTGTATAGAGGAAAACCTTACCCTGGGGTAATAATTGAAAAGGACCAGGGAACCTGGAGGAAGGTGGTCTATAGGTTTTCAGCTGTGTAGTGACATAATTATAACTAGGTTGAATTTCTGTTAGTTAATCCATTTGCAGCACCAAGAATGGTAGGTTTTCCATTGGAGCTAAATCCACTGTTCCTTTCTGGCCTTTTCCTTTTCCTACTCACAGTTTCCAAATCCATCTAATTTGCAGCTTGATTGCCTGGGTCCTGTTGACATTCTCTGGAGTATATTTATATAGCTATATGCAATCTGCAGTACTCCAGTCAGAAAAAGGATTGGGGGTTGGGGAGAGAGGCTGCCAGAAAGGCATCGTGCCAGCCTAGAAGGTACATTGGACCTTCTCCAAATAAAGCCCAGGTGGAGTGGTGAGCATGCAGAATCAAGATCAGCCCTTTAGAACCTTTAAAGGATATGAGACTCAGACTCACCTGTCGACGCCTTTCTTTGCAGGTGTGACAGTTTCCCAGCGATTTATGGTAACCGATTCTGACCCCTCCACACCACAGTTCCACACAGCTCCTGAACCATGGGAGAAAATGAGGATGAGAAGCAGGCCCAGGCCGGCCAGGTCTTTGAGAACTTTGTGCAAGCTACCACATGCAAAGGCACCCTCCAGGCCTTCAACATCCTCACCTGCCTCCTGGACCTAGATCCACTGGACCATAGAAACTTCTACTCTCAACTCAAGTCCAAGGTGAACACCTGGAAGGCCAAGGCCCTATGGCACAAGCTGGATAAGCGTGGCTCCCACAAGGAGTATAAACGAGGGAAAGCCTGTATGAACACCAAGGTAAGGGGACCCCACAGACATTTCTCATGGGACAAGGAGCTGAAGAACTATTGCTATCTTGCCATTTTGAGCTTCTTAATAGATGTGGCTGTGGGTGCTATTTTGTGGTTCTCCAGGGAAAGCTTCCTTTATCTGGAAGGGGTGACTTAAAGTCGATTCTATTGTGGTGGTCATAGCTACCACTTTGTACCTTCTCCAAGAGAGGGAACCAAATGCAAAATGGGGGCACGAAGCAAATGCCACCAGCCTATCTTCTACTTCTCCTGTCTCTACACCCCTGCTGCCTGTGGGCCCTGCTCTTTATTGAGCAACTTCTGTATACAAAGCACCTTCTGTCCCATTTGAGCCCATGGAACACCTGTAGTAGGTCTTTGAACTGCTCTAAAGATGTTTAGACTGAGAAAGGCAATTGTTTCCCCTTTGTTCATACTTCCAGAAGGCATGGTGGCTCTGTCTGATTCCACGGCGTAAGCACTGTGTTACCTAAGATGTGCCATTTATTTAGTGGATGTCTACTGGTAGCAAACAATTTTAAAAGACTCCTGTTTGTTGTTGTTGTATGGGGTTTGGGTGGGCACACTTGCCTATGTGTGTGCATACGAGGAGGGCAGGGGTCGACTTCAGGCATCTTTCTCTATTGTTCTGTACATTATTCTTTTGAGACAGGATCTTTCACTGAACTTAGAGCTTGTTATTTTAGCCAGACTGCCTGATCCTGGAATCTACCTGTTCTGTCCCATCAATGCTGTGCTTACAGGTGTTTGTCTTCATGCCTAGATACTACATGACTGCTGGGGATTGAAACTCAGATCCTCATGCCTACGTGGCAAGCTTTTTACTCACTGAGCGATCTTTCCAGCCTGACTCCCTGATTGTCAGTTAATAACTGTGGGGTTGTCTCTGATCTTTTCTTCTTAACATCTCCTTGACACTTCCCTAGGATCCACGTCTCTGCTCAGGACCACACCTGTAGCTAGTCTCCATAAACAGTGTGCCCCCTGTGGTCTACGGTTGGCAGCATCAGTGAACCTAGGACACACCTCTGTAATCTCTGACATGTACCACCAGGCAGGCTGCTAAAGCTGAGATTCATTGCTGGCCCTGGAGAACTGTTGCTGGTACAGATCCAGGCTGTCTGTTTAGGTTAATGTTGAATGCCCAGTATTTAGACCTCTCGGGAGGTAGCTCAGCAGCGCCCATGGAATTCTAGTCTGTGCCAATCCCAGGACAAGAGGATTGAACTCTCCATAGCAATGGAGCCTGTTGTGTTTTTGTTTTGGTGATGGGGAGTGGCGGAGGCCACTGTGGGATACGGCTGCTTTCCATCGCCCTAGGGAGATAGCTGCCAAGGTCCTGAGCCCAATGCACCCATGTGCAGAGTACAGGAAAGCGTTCCAACTGTACTAAAATCATGTGCACCTAAGCCCTGAGTAGAAGAGAACCCCCACCCCCACCTGCTGGTTCAAAACTTGCCATGTTCTAGCCTCAAGCAGGAGGACACCAGAGTAACAAAGGAAGAGGGAGAAAACAGATACCCTGGGTTTCATTCCCACAAATGCCTCTCTTTAAAGTTGTAAATTTTTTTGTTCATGACTCCCTTGGGAATTGGGGGGTGGGACTTCAGAGTTACCTTTTTCAGTCATTGCATATGGTGGCCTTCTTTTTAAAAGGACCCCAAGTATGGTCCCTGCAACTCCCAAGAAAGTTGTGCCTCAAAGGAGGGCACCACAGAAAAAAGGAGAGATTTTTAGAACTCTTGCAGCTCAGTAGTGGACTTTTTGTTGTCCTGCCTCTGGATCCATAATGGTCAAATCCAGGAACCCTGGCTACTGTAACTGTCAGCCCTTCCTAGCATCATGTGATTGACACGAGGGTGGAACAGCTTCCCAAGACTGGGAGCACAGACAAACACAGGTGTTCTCCACTTTTACTGGTTCCTTTCTTCTGGTCAGACCCTCCCATAGCAGAGTCATGCATGGGTGCTGGGCACTCAACTCTAAGAGGCCGTGCTGCTTTTCTTATGAGTCAAACCGAACCACAGAAGATGGGTCCCACCTGTCCTCCCACGTGACAGACACTGACTTGTTCACACAGCATGTTTATGTTTTCTTTGACATAATAGTTTATGCTTAGCATCAGCCAGATAAGAAATACTAGACCTTAGCAAACATGTGGTTGATCATAAATGCTAGTCTAGATAATGCAGGTGTGTTGAATGTCTGGCTTAATTAAAGCTCCCAGTTAGCCACAGGCATGAGTAGGAAAACTGCAATTTGTCCTGACCCCTTCTTTGTATTGAGGGGAGCATGATCCACTCTACCTGGAGCTGATTTGGGCTTCTCAGCTCCCCACCTGCACATGCTAAGTGCTGTGGTTGCTTCTGAATCTCTAGCCACGCATGCCTGTCTATGCTGGTGGCAGTGGCAGGAGGGCAGGGTCTATGAGGAGAAGAGGAAGCAGGTCTCCAGACCACTGGCACAAGTGTGCATTGCATAATTTAGCCTGAGATAGTTGTTTATGACCTATTAATATTTATGAGGGTTTCATTAGGCACTTCATAATTCATTCCCTGGGTGTGACTCAGGATAAGAATGGGGTGAACCAAGGATCAAATCATATGAACTCTCCTGAGATTGATGCCACCTTGGCACTAAGGCCACGCCTGGCTCAGATGTGACATCCAGATAAGCCTGTAATATGTAATTTGGTATGGAGCTGTCACACCCCCAAACTATGTACTTATGTAATGCTAGAAGCAACTTAAGAGAAGTGTTCTCTTCATCTGGCAGGTGACATGTGCAGGAGGTGGGGCAGGTAGGGAGCCACAGCAGCTTTGAGGGAGCCATTGAGTAGCACTGCTGGGGTTTAGGCTATCTTGGTTTGTGCCAGCAGTAAGTGCTTGTAGATCTCTACACCTTAGGTAGGCATCCAACAGTAAAGATGGTTTTGAAAGATGGTTAAGAAAGTATTAATCAGACAACCAGTTGTGGTGCATACCTTTAATCTCATCACTTAAGAGGCAGAGACAGGTAGATCTCTGTGAGTGCGAGGCTGGTCTAGTCTGCAGAGTGAGTTCTAGGACAGCTGGGGCTACACAGACAAACCCTGTCTCAAAACAACAGCAAAGAATACGGCATTAATCTACCTTTTACACAGTGTTTGAAGTCAGCCTGAGCTAAGCTGTCAAAAAACCATGCCAGTGAGATGCTGAGATGGTTCAATGGATATAGGCACTTGTCATGCAAGCCTGGTGAGCCAAGTTCAATCAAGGGTAGAAGAAGAGAACCAGCCCAATAAAGATACCTTCTGACCTCCACACACTTCCATGGCACACATCACCCTACATACAACAATAATAATAAATTGAAATTATATTAAAAAATAAATAGTTCTCAAGTTACGTGTGGTTGCTCATGTTTGTAATCCTAACACTAGGAGGGTGGAGGCAGGAGGACCAGGAGTTCAGGGTGAGCCTGGGCTACATGAGTTCTCACCAGAGCTTTCTATAATGGAGACAGGAATATAATCACTTCCTTATTCATCTACATATTTGATAATTCACAAGATAGATGTTTTGGAGTTAATACTATGCACCAAACAGTTAGGTACCTACAAATCCCTCCATAGCTCTACAGGCCGCTTTACTATCTCTATGTCTTTCTCTGTCAAGTAAGAATAATAGGGTATCTGTTTCACAGTGACTGTTAGGGTTAAATACAGTCATCCTTCTAGAGACCTTGAGTGTTGCCTACTGCATACTTAATGATCAGCAAACACTGAGCCACCATGATAATTGAGATCATTAATATCCCAAGTGTTGTGAGAGGGGTGTGTGCCCCAGTATGTAGAATATAGGAAAACAAATGACTAACTGGCTGGGGTAGTCTGGAAATTCTTCCTAGAAGAGGGTGGGAGTCTGCCAGACTAGTAGGAGTCTGTCCTATAGAGCTGAGGACAGAAGAAAGACAATCTAGAAAGAAGCATGCTTGTGTAATAGGAAAGAAAGGGGGAGGAGATGGGAAGAGCCTGAGAATATAGGATAGATGGATGAATGAGAGGAGGAGATGGAAAAAGACCTCTTGCTTTGGAGGCAGGTTACAAGGAAAAAGGATCATGGGCAATGAGCCCACACCTCAACCTCCCGGGATTGGACACTCTGCCACTTAGCTTAGAGCTACTTCTAGCATCTTCCTGCACTTGCTCTATAACATCAGGCTATCATTGCAGGTCAGCAAGCATTGTCTTCCTTCAGGAAAAACACTTGCTGAAAATGACTCATGAACTCCTGTCCCAGCCAGAGATTGGGGACGCCTGACATAATGAAAACAAAACAAAACCAAAACCCCTCTTACACTGTCACTGTAGAAGGATGACTTTGCATTTGAGAGCATCTAGCTGGGTTGCCACATCCCCTGATGTGACCCTTGCTCATGGCCGCCTCAGTACCACATTCCCATGTAGATCCCATGCCCTGGTTCTCACACATGACCCAGCTTGCCATGTGGATCCTGCACTGCCTAAGTGAAGCCACTGGGGAGGCCTGCAGCTGAGAGTAGGAGGGAGTTAGGAGTAGAAGGGGGAAAACTGCTATCTCTTGCTTGGATAAGCCTATCAGACATTCCTGAGGTCTGAAGTCACACACACAGGCTGTAGCAGGTCAAGTGCCTCTTTGCCTAATATGGACAGGTACAGGCAGCTGGTAAGGCAGAGGTGGCTCTGTTTCTGGGCTGTGAAATTCTGTAGTCTGTGGAAGAACTAGTTAAGGAAATTCTAGATCAGCCCACTTACCTGGCCAAGAGACCACCATCCCTGCTACTGGACCAGCCTGGAGATGGAAGGTTGTGCTAACCGACACACAATTACCATCTTAAAGAAACACTCAAATTTACCCAAGGCCATTTCCTGGCAACATTTTATTTCATGAACTTCATATAAAATCATTGGTCTGGGTCCACTGTGATTTGCTTAATGGAAATATAGCCAGCCCTATGTATTTTTGA